TTAAAACATGTTGTATTTGAGATTTGTTCTCTGTTTTTGCAGCATCCATCTCACCTTCTTCCTGAAACACCTCCTGCTCCACTCTCCCAACTCTTGGTTCTCTTGGTTTGGGTAGGAGTCCCCTCCCCCACCCCCACCCCGCCCCAGTTCTAAGAGTCAAGGACACAACCTGTGCCTCGGTTGATCAGTGCACTGCATTCCTTTGACCTAGTGATTGGCCTCGAGGTGGGCACGTGATCTAAGCTGGTCCAAATAAAGGGAATCTCACTTAGTACCTTTGCTGAAAATTCTGGGGTAAAGGTAATTGTTTTTTCCTCCTTCCTAGTGGATTCTAATCTGAAAGTTTGTAGCCCTTGAAATGCCAGTAGCCATCTCAAGACCACAGGGAAAGGACCTGAGAATGGAGCCAACATTGAAGAAACAGAGCCAAGGAATTTAGAAAAAGACACCAGCTCTAGAGCTGTGCTGAAGCTAAGGCTGTCCCTTGATTGTTCAGCTGTGTGAGTCAATAAATTGCTTTTGCTTAAGACAATTACAATTGAATTTTCTATCACTTGTAACAGGAAGAATCCTAGCTGTGGGACAGCCAGGTGGAGATGTTAGGTTAAACAGATGAGCTGGGAATTCTAGAGAGAGATTTCAGCTAGGGATATAGAATTGTGAGCCATCAGCACATAAACCAAAGCCATGAGTTTGGAGGTTACCCAGAGAAAATGAGTAGAGAAGATTTCCCCAAATTATGGTCTATAGATTACCTGCATTGAAATCATTTTTTTGGGAGGGCGGTGTTAAAAGGTAGATTAGGAAGTAAAGGCAGTATAGGCAGTCTGCTCTTTTCAAAAGTTTGTCAAGTGATGGGAAGAAGGAAGGTAGGATGTGGGGTCAGGGAACATCCTTGTAAAACTCTCTCCCCATTCCTATGATGTCAGTGTTCCCATTCTCAGAGCTATGCCTACTCTTAAATTCTTGCTATACAGCTTGCGGTGGGTAAATGCTAAGATGTCCCCCAATAATCCCTCTCCTCATATTCACACTCTTGTGTAATCCCCTCTCCCTGAGTGTGAGCAGGACCTACGACTTGCTTCTAACCAATAGAATACAGCAAAGGTGATGGTGTGCCACTTCCAAGCCTTGATTATATAGGACTTAGTCTTTCATCTTGCCAGCAGATTCTCTGTTACCTTCTCAGCTTGCACATTTGAATGAAACAAGCATGGACAGGCGGACTTGGCAAGGAACTGAGGATGCCTCTGACCAGCAGCCAGCTACAAGCTGAAGTCCCCCCTCTAACAGCTCTCGAGGAACTGAATCCTGCCAACAACCATGTGAGCTTGGGAGCGGTTCTTCCCCAGTTGAGCCTCAGATGAGACCCCAGCCCTGGAAGACACCTTGACTGCAGTCTTCTGAGAGGCCCTGAGGCAGAGAGCCCAGTTAAGCCACATCCAGACTCTTCACCCACAGAAACTGTGAGATAGTGAAACTGCCTTGTTTTAAGTCATTAAGCTTGTGGTAATTTGTTGCACAGTAATAGATAGCTAACGCACAGCTGTAATTCTTAAAAGACAATTTGGCTGATCCCCTTACAACCCATGTAACAGCAGTTCCAAACATCTGAAATTTTCTCAAATGTATCATCTTTCTAAAAGC